GGCAACGATTTTGAAATTAGAACAACAGAAATTGTGTAATCCTTATAAAAGAGAGAAAGAGAATTTATTTTTTAATTGACAGAGAGCCTGGGACCTATGGTACAATGTTAACATCTAATGCATGTGTAAGTTGAATCTCAGAAGAAGAGAAAGAGAGAAAGGAGCAGAAAAAATATTTGAGTAATTTATGGCTGGAAAGTTCCCAAATACTCGGAAGGAATTAAATTTATACATTTAAGAAGATCAGTAAACTCATAAAAATGATATTCAAAGAATATTACACATAGACATATTAAAATCAAACATAGAGAAAGCATTCAAAAATTGAAATATAAAACAAAATAAAAATAAAAACATGAATAATATAAAATATATAAAATAAATGTGAAAATATATATTAAAAATTTTAGAAATGAAATAGAATAAGATCATAAATATAGAAATATAAAAGCCCATGAAGTATAACAACAAAAGTATTATAAAATTCTGGGTGGTATTTCTGAAAAATATCTACAGTAGTTATCACTTTTGCCTTTTCTTTTGTTAAAAGGTTTTTTCTTTCTTATTATCTGAATAATTATATTTATACTAAGCATTAATTACAAAATTTTACAGGTTAATAAATCAGAAAAAAGTCTTTATTATCTTACAAATATCTAACATGATGCTGAAAGAAAAGGAAAGAAGATTGCCTTTCGTCTTGCAATCTGATACTTACCATTGCGTACCTGGCCTACTTCTGATGCTCATGGGATTCATATGTGCCTCTCTGAGGACACTTTCCCAGTTCTGTCAGTTTCCCTCGCTATCCCTAAGGTCTGTTACGTGAGGGATGCATTAGTAATCTTCAAGACAGGACCACCAAGGACAGGTTTGTTTATTTCACTAGCTAAAAATTGGGTCAATTTTTTCAAAAGGGCAATTTTGTCAACTAAGAAATATTTCCCTGTGCCAGAAATATCAGAATATCAACTTTCCAACAGGGAAAGATTCCTACCTAGCCGTTTAAATTATTGCTAACTTTGTAGTTAGAGAAGAAAGAAAATATTTCCCGGGCTCACAAGGAGGTAGGCTTTCATCTTGTGTGGATGGTAGAAGACAGTGAAACTGGAATTGCAGGGTGGGAGGGTGAGCGTGTGGTCCTGAGAATGAGCTATCAGAGCCCACCACCTCTCTTCACTGTAAGACGTTCCTGGATGACCAGTTTTACCCTCTGCAACTTTGGGGTTCAGCAAACACGTGAAGTCATGACTCTCAGAGAAGCAAGTATTTTTGTATGATTTTCTTTTCCATTTTTGAACTCTAGAATGATGCTTTTCTCTGAGGAGAGTGTCCATAACAATGACAAATAAAAATGGCAAGTAATAAGATATGTTGGAGTATATGAGGAAGCCATTTGATGTAAACCCAATTCGGCCTGACCTTGTCTTTCCAAAAGGGCCTGACATGGCCATTGAGCATGCATTGTATATCTGCTTTAGATATTCCCTGTGGCAAGAACAAAGGCCCTTGAGACAAAGGTGCAACTTCCCTTTCCCTCCCAATGTTGGCATTTCCTTAAGGATTAAGCATCTTTCCTTAGCCTAGGAACTGATTGCTGCGCTCACCTGTGACCACCCAGCTTGAGACAATAGACTTGCCTCCTGCTACGCCCACCAAGATAGCAGACCCACTACCTGCTGTGTCCATCAAGTGCCGTGCTGACAGGGCAATCTTGTGACTATTGTGGGAGGGACATTTCAATCATATGTGAAATATCCTGTTTGGGGGTATATAACTGCTCTGTGCACCCCACTTCTTCGGTGCCCTTTCTTCCTTCGGGAAGAAAGGCCCCAGGCCATGGTCCTCAGATTTTAGCTCAGAATAAACTCTCCCAAATTTTCATTTATAGATTGGTTATGGATTATTTTCGTCGACACAAAATAACTGATATGATCTATTATTTTAATATTTTATGAAAGGTTTCAACAAACATTCGCGAAGTGTGGCTTTTCAATATGAGTGACAAATATATGACAGTCACTGACAATCTGTTTTTATGCATCAATACGATGAAGGTCATGTAAATATAGTAGAATTTGGGGGAGTGGCACTCGTAAGCATCCTCTGCCGCAATCTCACCCTCATTTTAAACAAAAACTGTGTATCAAATAAGTAAATTTTATCTCCATCAACACTCTGTGACCCTGCCCTGGAGTAGCCTTTCACATTTTAATGTAAACTCAATTTTTAATCTCTGTATCTTAATATCAATGACAATTTCACGACAGTGTTCTTAAGAATGTGGAATATTAACAAGTGGAAGAAATAGTGGTATTTTTGGAAGAAAAGATATTGTTCTTGCAGGCTGAATGAGGTGCCTGAGAGTGAGCGAGATATCTACATTGTGGTGACGAGAACTGAGGGACGTCTCTGGGCTGCAGACACAATTCCTTTCTACACCTTGAACACTGTGTTGTCACTTTATGACCTGTAACCTGACACTGAGGCGGGAGGCTAACTCTTAAGCAAACTGTGACCTGTTCTTCCCTTATTTTGCTTTTCTGTAAACTCTTTAGGCTAAACCATGAACTAGGTGTGAAGTGGGAGCTGACATCTAACCTCCCTAATTGTTAGGAAGGAAACTTGTTAAAGCAACCAAGCGAATCTTCATGTAATCATCTAATTGAAGCCTCTAAGCAAATGCTCTTTCATTCAGCAATGCAGGAAAATGATGATATATCCAGACAGTGACTGATTATAGGAAGTATTTGAGTTGACTACTATGTACGTAATCAGATAAATAAATAATGCTTAGTGACCTAAACAAAAAGTTTCAAATAATTGACTTTTTTTCTTTCAGTCTAAGCCTGTATCTGACCTGTAGCCTTTATTTGTAAGGCCAGGGAGCAAAGAATGATTTTGACATTTTAAAGGACTCACTAAAAAATTAATGGAGAATGTGCAACAGAGATTATATGTGGCCTGTACATTAAATATGTGCATTTTTAATATCCATTATACTTCAATAAAGTTAAAACAACAAAGAATCTAATGGACCCTTTGTAGAAAACAATTTGTGGACTCCCATCTGAGATTACATACTTATATTAAAGAAAGTCCCATAAAAGAGAATGCACTTTTCACTAAATGAGAAAACAGACTGCTTTGAGTCAGAAGAGTAAATATAAATTTATTAATTTTACAGTAAATATATTTATTGAGCACTTGATAAACTTTGAACAGGGCTAGTTGTTGTGGAATCTCACTGAACAACACATGGTCCAACCTCAATAAAACTACATCCACATGTTTAGTGATAACAGAGAGAAGCATAGTGTGCTAGAGGGCAAAAAAGAGGGGCATATAGACACAGAAGTCAAGACACTTTTTCACAGGAAGTGACACTAAGCCAAAACGTGAAATATGTATCCATATCTGCCTAGTGAAGGTAAGGACAGGGGTGGGAAGTTGTTAATGAAGTGAGTTGTATCAGGAAATGAACTCCACTCAAATCTGTAGATGTGTTGTTTTGGTTTGTGGAAAGGGAATGCCTGCCCTTGGTGGCAGCATTTCATACGTAATATTCCTTTCTAAATATTGACATCATCATCACATGAGGGTACTCTCGGTGGTCAAAAACTCCAAGCATTTCAGGTCTTATTAGTAGATGTTATAATTTTGGCTTTTAGGTATAGATGAAATCCATGCAATTCGGCTATTGCTAAATAAAATTAATCCATAAATTTAACTGTAAACATTAATTTCAAATGATATACTTACATAATTATAAACAGAGCGAAACTGACATCACCATAAAAAATGGTTGAAGCAGCACAGATGATTAGAGGAGAGTATATACCAGACAAATAATCCATGTGAAAACTTGACACAGTATACTGCCTGGTATGTAGAAAGCGCTTACCAATTGCTGTTTGTCTTTTCAGCTTTAGAGTTTGGGTTTTTTTGGTTAATTTTTAATTATGAAATAATGTTATACTTGAGTTGAAAACACAGTGCAGACAGTTCCCAGATATCCTTCACCCAGCTCCCCCAACAGGTATATCTTATATAATTGTAGAGCATTTTTTAAAAGTAAGGCTTTAACATTGTTTGCAAACACCAATAACTAAGATACAGACTTTAGGGCGGCCCTGGGAGGTGGCCAGGCCAGGAAGACAATGATGACGCTGCTGCTGCCACTGTTCCTCCGCGCCCCACCAACATAGGCCCTGGCTGGTCCCTACCCTGCGAGGATGCAAGGGAGCAGGCACCCGGCGGGCGGATCTGTGTCACACAGATGATCCTTTCTAATTCTATAGTTAAATCCACCTCAGAGAATGACAGATTTTAGATTAATTGAAAAATACAGTTGTGAGAACATGCAGGAGGGTATAAAAATATGGACTGTAGTACCGTTAACTAATATTTAAGAAAAACATTATCTTGAGGAGACCTATAATGCACATCAAAAGAGCTGACAACCAAAAACGATTGGATTTTTTTACCCAATGGCCATGGCCATGTGATTTCACACAAATTTCCTCAGTTTAATGTCACTAGAGTTTGCCAGGAGTTAGAGAAGAGGGACAAGCGAATCATGAGAAACCGTACATCGTTATCCACGTTCATACTTCTGGGACTGACAGATGATCCTCAAATGCAAGTTCTGATTTTTATATTTCTTTTTTTTTTTCTTCTTCTTCTTCCCAAAGCCCCTCAGTACATAGTTGTATATTCTAGTTGTAGGTCCTTCTGGTTCTGCTCTATGGGACACCACCACCCCATGACTTGATGAGCAGTGCCGGATCCACACCCAGCATCTGAACTGGCGAAACCCTGGGCCACCAAAGTGGACCATGTGAACTTAATCACAGGCCAGCCCCTGATTTTTACATTTCTGTTTGATGCTTACACATTGAGTAATCTGACCATCATTACATTCTCTTTGGTAGATTCTCACCTTAAAACTTCCATGTACTTTCCTCAAAAACTTCTCCTTTTTAGAAAACATATTCACCATGGTCTGCATTCCCAGAGTCTTATACAGCTTATCAACTGGGGACAAGACCATTTCCTATTATGCTTGTTTTTCTCCACTACTTTTTGTCATCTTCCTTGGAGCCACAGAATTTTTTCTCCTGGGCATCATGTCCTGTGGTCACTATGTGGCCATCTGCAAACCCTTGCATTATGCAACTATCGTGAGCAGCAAAGTTTGTGGACGGCTTGTTTGCTTTTGGATAGTGGGGTTTTGGGTCATGTTCCCACCACTTTGCCGGGGCTTAAACCTGGAATTCTGTGACTATAATATCATTGATCATTTTCTCTGTGATACTTCTCCCCTGCTGAAGATCTCTTGTTCAGACACATGGTTCATAGAACAGATGGCTGTTGTCCTTGCTGTGTTGACCATCATGACACTTCTGTGTGTAGTTATGTCATATATGCATATCATCAAGACCATCATAGAGTTCCCGTCAGCCCAGCAAAGGAGGAAGTCCTTTTCTACCTACTCTTCTCACATGATTGTGTTTTTTGTCACCTACAGTGGTTGTATTTTCATCTATATCAAACCTCCAGCAAAGGATGAAGTGGCAATCAATAAGTGTGTGTCAGTGCTTACTACTTCTGTTGACCCCATGTTAAACCCATTTATTTATACCCTGAGGAACAAGCAAGTGGAACAAGTTTTCACGGACTCAATCAAGAGAACATCATTGAAGTAAAGGGGTGTTGAAACTGAGCATTAAATATATCAGACAAGAGCAGTGGGCTTTAAGCTCATAGTTTTAAATTCTTAATTATTGTACCTTGTCCACAGTCTGTTCATATTAACATGCTGTTCTTATTGATTCTAAGACACAGACTCATCATTTCAATGTTTGTTGAAATAGACAAGTTGAGTCACTTCGACACATTCAAAATAAACTTTCTCCAAGGTAACATCTCATATCAAGAAAACATGAAATCAGATTTCCATGAAAAGGGCCTTACCTAAACTCAAACTGATACCGAACCTGAAATGAGTTCACTCACCCGTTGCACAGCAAGCCAATCTCTGACACTGGGTGTGGTGGAAGGAAGTAGTAATTTTATTTTTGCACAGCACTGAGCAAGGAGAGAGGGCAGCTAACGCTGAAATCCCAAACTCCCTGAAAAGCTAAAAGGAAGGATTTTTATTTGGGATTTTAGGTAGGGAAGAGGGAGCGTATGGCCTTGATGGTTGGAGCTTTCCCACCAGTCTGTCTTTGGCCTTGAGACACTTCCAGATAGGAGGGAACCCATGAACTTGCTGGTCAGCAGCTTCCCCACAAGCCTGTATCTCTTTGCAGGGAGGAGATAATCCAGGTGCTTGTCCTTGGCAGTGTCTGTCTCCATGGAGAATAGTGGAGTCTGGAGCCAGGAAGCCAGGGAGTAAACAGGGAATGAGTGTTTTGGTTTTAACCCCACATACGCTGGGTTTAATGTAGGGAAACTGATATCAGGGTTGGTATCAAAACCTGGTACTGAGAAATGAAAACACTATTAAAGCTTATATCAAAAAAAATTGAATTATTGAATTAACAGGAAAATAATGGAGTATTTATTGCTTTTTCTCAGTGTAAACATCGAAATTGCATCAGAAAAAAAAGCATATATATTATTACTCTTCTCAAGCAAGGATAAGATAATTTTTTTAAATAATAATGAGTTAGTTTGAGTAAAAAAGAATGGATTTTAACACTGAAGAGGAAAACATGTAAGTTTAGACATGTAGAGATCCACATCCAGTTTGGAAAAGAAAATTTAAAGCCCAAAGATTTAGAGTTCAGATTCGCTGGGTTCTCTCCAAAAAGAGCCCAGCCTCCACATGAATTCATCACCTGGATGGCAGTGATCTGATAGTCTACTGAGACAATAAAAGCATCTTCACAGTGGCAAAGCAAGACTAGTGCTGAAATGCATAATGCAATGCAAGTCCTAATTAATGCTAAATTAAGCCAACAGGAGCCGACAATTCTCAGCAAATTAAAGTTCTAGTCATCAAGCAAATGAAACCAGCAAAGTACGTGGAAACCATGGATTAGAGAAAAAAAATCCAATATGAAATCATAATTGTTTCCTAAAAGGTTATCATCAATATTGAAAGAACATAAGGTATAACGTTCATTAATATTTCTTAAGAAAGATTTTCTGCATTTGATTACTTTTTTCTTTACCATCTTTCATATTTCTTACCATAGACCTTGCTGGGGTTTGGGGCAGGCCGCTCCAGAATGTGTCATTTGGGCATGTGGATTATTTCGAGTTGTAGACAATTAAGGCCCAACAGCCCAAGAAGAGCTTTTTACCTCCCCCTTAACTGCCTAAAGAATTTAGATAGGGGGCCTGAACCAGGAAGAGAGCCATTACCAGATACAACTGCTTACATCAGAAAGACTTATGTGCAGGGCATGGCAAACATTTGTTTACCAAACATTTTCTCTTCCCATTTTCCTGTGAATTATTTCCCTGCCCTTTGAAATACCAAAACCCTACCCCCTTCTCCTTAGCTCAGGATGGCATATAAGCCTCAATTGCCTGACTGTTGGGGAGCCTCATATCTTTGGGGTTCTCATACATACAAAATTAATTGTTTTTTCTTCTGTTATTCTGTCTTATGGGTCAAATGGGTGTTTCTGCTAATTTAAGCAGACATCAACTGATCTTGGCTGAGCTTGTTCATAGGATTGTCATTACAGATGTCTCGGTCTTGCTGACTAGTAGACCCTCATTCACAAATTTAGAAGTTGAATGACTCTTTAATAAGATAACAGAGTTCTCTTCCAGATAGTGTTTTACACTCTTTCCAACACTTGTTCACATGGTAAGATCATAGGTCTCCAGGGGAGAGAGTGGAAGCAAGTAAGATCTCTAGAGTCCTAGGCACAATATCCCTTCTACACATTCTATTAGCCATGCAAGGCACAAGACCAGCCAAAATTCAAGGGAGATAAATAGAATCACCTATTCATGGAAAGAGCTGGAGAAACACATTGCAAAGGGTGGGGATAGAGAGAGACAGCCATTTTTGCTATCTAGCTTCATCAGACACTATGATTCCCCTATAGTTTATAATTCCCTACTTTGTCTTTAATATATTATTTCTTTAGTATGCATATGGATCCCAGGAAAGTCAATGGTGATTAGTGTTGCTTTGCAGGTTAATTTTTAATGAATATTAGTTGAATGAATCCCATAGAAAACAGCAAAGAATAACGTTTTATAGAGGAAATGTCTATAATGACTCTAACTTTGAATCAGAACCATAGAGACAAATAAGGTAGGTGTAATTTATGTGAAATTTAAAAGGAATTTGACTCATAACTGAAGTGCTCTGCAAACTTTTGTTTTAATTTTAAAATGCTTTTTGAAATTTTTCATTCATTATAACAATGATAACCATATACTAAAAGTAAAAAAATTATTCCATGTAAAATAAATCTCCTAATTCTCAAAACAACCCTCTCAGGTAAATTTTTATGGAGCAACAAAAGACCCCAAATAGCCAAAAGATTCCTGAGAAAAAAGAACAAAGCTGGAGATATCACACTCCCTGACTTCAAAATGTACTACAAAGCCATAGTAATCAAAACGGCATGATACTGGTCCCAAAACAGGCACACAGATCAATGGAACAGAACTGAAAGCCCAGAAATAAAACCGCACATCTATGGACAGCTAACCTTTGACAAAGGTGCCAAGAACATACAATGGAGGAAAGATAGTCTCCTCAATAAACAGTGTTGGGAAAAATGGACAGCCACATGCAAAAGAAGGAAGGTAGACCACTATCTCACGCCATCCACAAAAATAAACTCAAAATGGATGGAAGACTTGAAGATATGTCCTGAAACTATAAAACTCCTGGAAGGAACTAGAAAGGATCTTTTCAAATACCATGTCCTCTCAGACAAGGAAAACGAAAGAAAAAATAAACAAGTGGGAATTCATCAGACTAAAGAGCTGCTGCCAGGCAAAAGAAACTAGAATCAAAACAAAGAGACAACCCACCAACTGGGAGCAAATATTTGCAAATCATATATCTGACAAGCAGTCATCTTCATGATATGTAAGGAATTCATACAACTGAATAATAAAAAAACAAACAGCACGATCAAATAATGGGCAGAGGAGATGAACAGACATTTTCCCAAAGAAGATATACAGATGGCCAATAAACACATGAAAAGATGTTCAACATCACTAATCATCAGGGAAATGCAAATCAAAACTACACTAAGAGACCACCTTACGCCTGTTAAAATGGCTATAATCAATAAGACTAAAAATAACAAATGCTGGAGAAGATGTGGAGCAAAGGGAATCCTCATACACTGCTGGTGGGAATGCAAACTGGTACAGCCACTATGGAAAACAGTATGGAGATTCCTCAAAAAACTAAAAATAGAACTACAATATGACCCAGCTATCCCACTACTGGGTATCTACCCAAACAATTTAAAATCAACAGTCCAAAGTAACGTATGCACCCCTGTGTTCATTGCAGCACTATTCACAATAGCCAAGACATGGAAGCAACCCATGTGCCCATCTACCAATGATTGGATAAAGAAGATGTGGTATATATTTACAATGGAATACTACTCAGCCAGAAAAAAAGACAAATTCATCCCATTTGCAATGGCATGGAAAGACCTAGAGGGAATTATGCTAAGCGAAATAAGCTAGTCTGAGAAAGACGAACACCAGATGATTTCACTCATATGTGAAATATAAACAAACATATGGACAAAGAAAACAGTTCACTGGTGACCAGGGGAAGGGGGTAAGGGGTGGGCATGGGGTGAAGGGGAGCACTTACGTGGTGACAGTCAAGAAATAGTGTACAACTGAAATCTCACATTGATGTAAACTATTATGAACTCAATTAAAAAAAATTGAAAAAAAAAAGTAAAAAATTATCCCACGTGAAATAAATCTCCTAATTCTCAAAATAACCTTCCCAGGTAAATGTTTTGAGTGGCAAAATTGGAGTTTAATGACTCCTATTTCCTTCTCATGTGTAGAAGGTCGATCGGCATTTCTCTCGGCCTTTGCTATGTTTTAATTGTCATTAGGTATTCCCACTCACTTATTTTGCTTTTTAATTTTTTTTCTTTTATTTCCATTTCCCATTGCCATTCCTCAGTCTTCCCAGGCATCTTCTTTAGTATTTTCAGAAGTTTTTTTTTTATTTGCATGTGTTTTCTTACAAAATGTGTTTGAATACATCTAGCAAGGCTATGTCTTACCAGTAATTGCTAAAAAATATTATTTGCACCCAGTAGCATTTCCTCCAACGTGTATGTCTATGCCAGTATATGACACAGTCTCTCCAGTGTAACAGCAATGTGACTTCAAGGAAAACCTTAAAAACGTATACATATATTTTTTAAAGCATCATTTAAAACATTAACACATAAAGTAGTCTTCAGCAGTAGTAATAAATAATTGTATTGACAAAGACACCTTAATTATGAAAAAGGTAGGGAAATATACAATGGGAAATATATTTAATGGGAAATATACAATGTATTAGCCAGCAATAAATAATTGCACTATGAATATATAGAAACAACCGTGAAGTTTTAAAACAGAAAAGAATAATTCATAATAGAAATTTAGTAGTACAAATTGTGAGGGAAAGGAGTGAATTCAAAAGTACATCACCAATCTCTCTTAAAATCGATGCCAAATTGAAATT